TATATTTTAAAATTAGAGTTTCACGTTACTCATTCTGTGCCAGTGCTCTTTCACTTACCATTTCACTAAACGAATGTCGAAGTAGTATAGCATGGCCATACAGCAGGGTTCTGTGACCACCCCCTTGAGCTGCCTACAGAACATGACAGACAAGTTTACAACTCTACTGCACTGCATGGACTACAATCACAATTATATAAGAACATGGAGACCTACTACAGTTCAAGTAACAAGTGCAAATAACCAAGCAAATAACAAAATGTATATGCTGGGCAAAAAAAATGTATTAATGAAGTAGCTACAGCAACAGAAAAATGTCTGCCAAGGGAACAAATGTAGTTCTTGGTCAAAGACTCTAATTATGACTTACTTTTCATATTAAGTAAAACCACTGCATTTTCAAAAAAATATTTTACATTAAGAAAGATACTACTTACCTTTCTTATAAACTTCTCAGATGCATTAAAAAAATGATAATAAAATAAGTATATGTAAACATACACAAAACAAAATCTGAAAGAAGAAAAGCACACATATTGCCTAGTAGTTTAAGAACATACTAAGGGTATCTGCTTGTAGGATCATATTTTCTTAAGCATTTACCATTCATTAAAGCAACTTAATCATTAATGTCAATCAAGCACAATTACTAATTTCAAACATGGAATTTTATTGCAAGATCAAGGAGAGGCAAAACTGGATTTTCCACACACTTCCTTCAGAAAATTAAACCCACATCTTTTGAACTCATTTTGGTGACCAAAAGAAAATAAATTCCGAGGGAAGAATCTTAAGAAAGTTACCCATGGAACAACAGACAAGCTTTGTAAGTTTTCAAGTCTGCTTCTCAGCTTTTTTCTTCATCTACCATCTTATTTCCTAGTTATTTCTACATAAGAAGCTTATTCAAACTAAAATAAATAATATGACCAAGAAATTAAATTCTTGATTTATTGTGTTTTCCACTAAAACTAAGATTTTTAGGGATTTTTTTAGAACTTGGATTCTAGATTGCATGAAGCATATTTTTAGGAAAGTAACCTCCAAATTTTTAAGAATTAATGATATCATGATTAATGTTAATACTAATTATATTATGGTGGGCAACATAATATTTCATTTTTTTCTCTCAGTCCACGTGGTAAGTCTTGAGTCACAATAGAAGATCTAACATCAGGATCCTGATAACAGGTTAGAAATTGATGACTTAAGGACATCTGACTTATCATGTAATTGCTTGAAACTGTTCTCACACAAACACAGAGCTTTTTTTCCATTTAAAAGAGCATTTACTTTATGGTCTTCTTGTTTCAGGTATATGTAGGCAATCTTTAAATACAAAAGATGATTCCCCAAAATATAACTTTACAACAGGGATCATCCCTAGTACACTAGGTGTTGCTGGAAAGGACTGCCTTTAAGGTGAGTTCTTTTCCTTGAATTCATGTGGAAGGGACCAACACAGTTAAAGGTACTTCCAGGAACTCAAACAATGGTTATACACGTGTAGGCAAACGATTTTGCACTCTATGAACAATACATTAGTTAAATTACCAGTTAGGTCAATAGGTTTACAAGCTGTGTACAACTCCCGCTCTACAGAACCCCAATTTAGAAGAGAGCAAGCTGAGGAAACTACTACAATCTGTAGCTCAACATATAGAATACTTAATACTAATTCAAAGGATTAAAAATGAAATGTTATTTGTCCAAACAGAAGCAATAAAAATCTAAAAGCAAATCATCAGAGTTCTTTTATTAAAACTACAATAAAATAAAAATCCTACTTCTATTTTTCTAGCTAATAACAAAGACATTAACAAATAGGGATTTGTGGCCTGATTATGATGGAACTTAGTGCTGTTAACAGATAGTAGACAGTCTTATGGAATTTTATGTAGTAAATTTTATTGAGAAATTTCTCAGAATTATATGGATACTATGTATAATCTCTTTCACAACATGATCCATATAATTATGTAAAATTTCTCAGTACACTTGGTAGCAAACTAAAAAAAACCAAACTCCTGCATAATGATTTTTGGACCCACACAGCAAATGTGTCAGATTGTTGGAAAAAACTGGAGACAAATATAAGATAGTTATTGCTGGTCATTCAGAGAACATAGCATACTTTCAGATATCACTATAAAAGGCTGATCAGAAACAATAAATAAAAAAATTCGAAGAGCTCCTACAACCTATCTCATCCATAAAAAATGGCTTTAATAATATATCCTGCAGGAACTTATCACTGCTTGGGGAAGAAAACCAGAAAAACATCATGTAACAGTGTATATAATACTTGTTTTATAAATTACAACTTTTTTTTTAATCAACAAGAAAAATCTTAACAGCAAAATCAACTGTAATTATAGACAGGTTGTCAGAACAAAGTTACGTGTAATTTGTAACAAATATACGCATACTGAGAACAAGCAATAAAACACCTCATGCTATTTTCTTACTGAAAGCTTCTAAGTGAATCACTTCTAATTCTAAGGCTGACTCATTAAAACAAACAAACAAACAAAAACCAAACAAAATACCAAAATCAAATAAGCTATGTTCTTCCTCTAAAAAAATCTGAAACTAACAGCAAAACTCTATTCTAAACTAAATTTAATATGGAAAGCAAACCATTCAATGGAACGATAGACTGGTGGAACCAATAAAAGATTAATGTTAATTATACAAGTCCAAATTCTATTCTTAGCAATGCTTTTGTATTGAGAACAGAATGTAAATGAACATTTTAAGATGTGCATTCCTACATTTCCTGCTGTCATTTTTCTCTACATACATACCACAGCATGTGGTATTATTCATCTCAAAAACAGCTTTTTTTCTGAAATCTAGTTGAGCAACTACTTATTACTATAACAATTTGCTTTCATCATGCTAAAGATAGTGCCTCACAACTAAAAAAAATTAACTTGATTGGTGGTTTTGACATACATCTCAAAACAGAATCAGTTAATTGTAACTTTAAAAATAACCTATGCATTTTATCAACAGCTTGTTGACAGAAGCTAATTAAGAGTCCACCTTCTCTGAAGGTAACAAATCCTTGTGGTCCAGAAAGAAAGCTTCTTGCGTTATTGTTCAGGCTTCCATTTTTTTATTTCATTCTTGCTATTTATATCAACTGATGTGCTCCTATCACAATTTCCCTAATAGATGGTACCCAGCTTCAAAATAAATGCAGGGCAAGGTAGCTTCAAAATAAATATAGCACAACAGACCAGATTTTTTTTTTTTTTATTGTCCACTGCCCCCAAAGCAACAGGATGATCACTTTTACCGAAGAGATCACTTGTCCTCTACTGCCAATCCCAAATATAAATAATTAATATATTACTAGCAACCTGAGATTAAATCTTTTGGATAAATTTTTGGGTGAATATTTTTGAAAAATAAACACTAAAAATTGTGTTACTCTTTAGGAGTCCTAGAAGAGTTTAAATCAATCTTAGTTTCCCTAAGCAAATGTTTTATTCATCAAGAAAGTCACTTCACACTATACTGTAAGCATTCCAGTAAATATGCTGATGCTAATATAGTATAATACTAAGAAACCCAAAGAGGAGGATTTTGAAATAACTATTTCTATCCAACAGTTCTTGCTTGTTACCACAGAGTAAGTAACTGAAACATTTTAGTTCCACAATTGCAAAGACAAATATTGTATTTTTAGCTGAATTAAAATAGATTTGTCTCTTTGTTTCTAGCTGTTAATTTCATGTGAGGATAAATCAAATTAAATCCAAATACCTGAAATACCTTCTTAGCTCAGTGAAATAAGATAGAATATTTACATGAGGAGAAAATTGTTTTGCTTTCCCCACTAATAAATAGTACTATAATAAATAATGCTTTTATGGCAAAGATTTATGTGTTAGACAAAACTCATATACTCTCCTCAGGTTCACAAAAGCCAGACTCAGTCCAAGGGTTCTCTTACTCCTTTTTCAGTATCCAGTTCTGGCCTGATGGTAATAAATGATCTCTGAAAATGATGTTTCTCGTTTTTTATAAATATTTCAAAAGACTAACTGCACCTGCTCCTCAATGCTTAAAGAAAAATGAATATGATTAGAGTAGTGGAGCAATAACGTCCCAGGAAAACAGGAAAACTGAAGAATCTGCTATGACATGAGGCCCTTCTAGAAAATCCTGAAGCAAGGAAAGAAATTAGAACAATCCATATTGAGAAATTTAATATTCTTTGATGTCAATTTACTTACCCCTTCACTAGCATTATCCCCTGTGCTGGCCAGCATTTCTTGAAGGGCTCTGACAGATAGGGACTGTTCAAGAACGAAATTACAGATGCAAAGGTCTGGAGGAACATACTGTAAAAATAAATTAAAGAGTGCAGAGCAGGTGAAACAGCATGAAAACTATGTTCAAACACATATGTATTTTAATTGTAAAATCCATAATTAATTTTTACTCAATGTTTTTTGAGATACATGCTATTTCCCTGTATGAAAATAATACAAATCCATTCTTCATAACTTGTCAGTGCCGTAACTGTACTTTTCCAAGAGCTGTATTCCTCACAGTAAAACAAAACATCTTCAGGTTCAAAAGTAAAAAGTTTTCCTCTACATATTATTGCCTTCCTGCTTTTTAGAATTACAACGTGAATTTTGTATTTATTCTCTAATGTCACTGACAAAATAGAAGGTTATGATCTTATTTGGCGTATAAGGTTAGCTGTCACTAAATGGCAGATTCAGAATCTTATAACAATATGAACTATTTTAGGAGGTCTTCTCAATTGTTGAATAAATCTATCTGCTGGTTTGAAACATAAAACATACATTCAAGAACAGCAGACTTTTTTTCAATTTATTGGCATTGATGTGTCCAAGGAAAGACGCATCCGAGAAAAAAAGTCTCAAGGAGAATCATCAATGCATATAAACACATGACCGGAAATTACAAAGAAGACAGAACAAGAGTCTATGCAGTGATACCCAGTGAAAGGACAAGAGGAAATTAAACTCCAACTGAAATACGGGAAATTCTATTTAAACACGAGGAAAGAACCCTTTTTTTACTGTGAGCATGCTAAACACTGGAACAGGTTGCCCAGAGAGGTTGTGGAGTTTCCATCCTTGGAGATACTCACACCCTGACTGGACAGTGTCCTGAGCAATCTGCTCTGTCTAAACCTACTTTGAGTGAAGGGGCTGGACTTAATGATCTCCATAGGTCCTTTCCAACCTCAACGATTCAGTATTCTTCGATTTATGATATAGATAATGGCTATAAATGAACTTTTAAACGGATATACACTCCTTTTTTACTAGTGTGACAGGAGGGAATAAAATTCCTGATAACGCTGAGTTTTAAGGTGGTGAAAAGGGAAATGACGCAATTAAGAGACTTCTAAACTTGCTGAAGTTAAGTCTTTACGGCAAGCTAATCAAGTACAGTCTTGGAATTCCCACCCCTTGATCTCTACTACAGACTCTAATTTTTGTGAGTGTGTGTTTTCAAACACATTTTGGAAAAGACTTTTAGGCCAAAGACTTGACATTGAAATTGCATACATTAGATATATATATATATAAAATTGTTACATATATTACTGAGGTAAAGTGAACTGTTGCAGCTTTCTTACATGACTAAATAATTGTAAATAGTAAGTAGTTCATAATTTCATTAACTCCCACAGAACAACTTAAATACTTGTCATCACTCATCTCCACTACGGGGTACTGTGGTTTTTTTAGCATTCATTAACTGCATCTGTGTACACAGACATACACACACACAAACCCAGTCATACTCTTATTTAAACTCATACTACACATATATATGTGTGTGTGCATGCATGTATGTAGCATCCATATACAGGCACACGTGTGCACAGAGATTGTAAATGGAAATTTATTCTTTAATAGGTTACATTCAAGACCTCTCACATAATCAAACACAGAAAGACAATGTTATGTCTCAGTGAAACAAATTACAAACGAAACTAGGTTAGATTTTGTGTCTCGTATTTGTCTCTGGAAAGACTTGTTTAGAACATTTTATTGTTATGAACATAAAAAAAAATCTATACAACATTAAGTAGTCTCTACTTCGCAATGAACCAGACACATAAAGAAAACTTCTGAGTAATGCTTCACCCATTACTCTACCGCCTTTAACTGCACCTAGTAGGCACATAAGCCATATCATTATTTAAAAAACCAAACCAAACCAAAGAAAAACACCCAAACAAAAAACCCAGATACTTTTCTGTTGTCATCCCGTAATACCTTTCAGATCATGCAGCATCCATTTTATTAAGACATTTTGAGCATGTATTAAATCACAGTGTCCTTGAACATTTGAATTTAAAAACCAAAAACCAACAATCTTTATAACATCTTTCTATTTTCAACATGGAACTTAAATGCAGAAACTAAAGTGGAATATTATCTGGGGGAAAAAATAACATAGCTGGTAATCTAGTTTTAACCAACATCAGACTACCTCTGGCAGTTAATCCCACTCCAAACTGAATATGACATAATCAGTACGATCCAACACCTACCAGCTGAACAAAAGAACTCCCATCTGTTCCACTGGCCACTGGTCTTGCACCACATAGGCTGTATTTTGATTTGTAAATTGTTGCAGCCTTTACTTTAGTGGTTTATTACTAAAAGACACACTCTAAACAATGTACTCCTAGTCACGGTTTGTATAAAATATACATCTTAGGTTAACGCAATTGATTTTTCACTTCTTATTCTTTTTCACGGCCTATGGAGTATTCAGCTTTATTTAAGGATATTACACTGAGAAATATGAAATAATGATTTTTCCATCCATGATTTAGCGTAGCTAACACATCTTTCCAACTTGCAGTGTTGCACAATAAACTAACACATGCATGCTCTCACATACCCCATTTCTGTGGTTGGAAGGCAACAAATTCTGTTTTAAATTCCACTGACCTGAGAAATATCAGTGAAAGGTAATTTATGTGGATGGTACATGACCTAAGTAGCAACTGACCTCCTTCGTTAATCTAGATTGCTTCCTTTAAAAAAAAAACAAAACAAAAACTAAAAACAAAACAACAAACAAACAAACAAACAAAAAAAACAAAACCCAAAAAACTAACTATTGAGTCTGTCCAGGCAAATAATACTCTTTTTGCAAATGATACTGTTTCATACATTTGATATTCAACAATCACTGTGTAGCAGACAGTTTTATACTCTTAATAATTACACAGCTAAAAAGGTCTTAATAAAATCTCGACCATCTGCTAATCTATGCTTTTTTCCCCCCAACTCTGAGCAATGTTGTATTGTCATGTGTCCCACAAAAAAAAAAAAAAAAGTGCCAATAAGGGATGTTTGGTCACACAGAAGTACTGAGAGGTGAGGGTGTGGTCAGGTATTAAGACAAGGTTTTAGAAATCTGCTGTAAGGTAACAATAGGCATAGATATTTATCCCCCTTCTGGCTATGGGAAGTTGAAATGAACATATAGAAGTAAGACAACATAATTTCCAAGAATCATCAATAAAAGAAAAAATTCAAGTGGAGAATAAAGTAAGGTATTTTACAGGCATTTAAAGATATGCCAACCAAGCATTATTGCAAGTAAATGTGTAGCAGAATAACTAGACTGATGAGATATACAATAAAAGAAAAGAGCAATTTGGAATTAATAGTTTTTCGAAGTCAGTTACAGCTTTCGGGAGTTCTCCCAGCACATCTCTGCACAGTCTTGTCCATACATACAGGAAGATAAACAAAAAGACAAATTTGACACAGGAAACCTACACAAATTGCAAACTAAATCTGAAGAAACAATTGACACTTCTACTCTCACAGCTGCTCTTTTTATAAGAAAATTTTTATTTCTGAGATTATTTTAAACAGGTCTTTCAAGTAGAGTTATGAGTTTTCCAAGAACATACTCGTAACACTGAATACATGTCATTTTTCTGAGTGTTAAGATAAATAAAACTAGCTACTGAACTGGAAATGTTCAATAAATCTGCAAAAAAATTGAATCTTAAAATAACTCTATTTTCTCACAGAAATGAATCAGAGTCCAGGTCAAGTTACTTTATTTTCATCTAAATTGATTTATGGAGGAAGAGCAGCGAGCAGATAAAGTATATCAGTAGGTCAAAGCTGACAGGAGATGTGACATGAAGAAACAGATAAAAGCTACACAGTAGCTAGAGAGGAGCAACACAAGCAGTTATAGAAAACACGAAGTCCTACAGCAGTGAATAGGAGCCATGCTTTGTAACAAACTGAAAAAAAAAAAAATCTATCAGTACCTAAACACGAAGTCCTACAGCAGTGAATAGGACCCATGCTTTGTAACAAACTGAAAAAAAAATAAAATCTATCAGTACCCAGGACTTCTCTCTCAAACGGCTCAAAATACTTTATAGAATTTACAATAGAACAGCAAGCCACCATTCTAACAGACTTCTGATTGACCATAGATACACTCATCTGCCTCAGTTTTCCATGTAAAAGGGAGACTCAGGAGAATTTTCTCCTGTAAGGTACACTGTGATTTACCTAGAAAACACTGCATTTTCAAAATATGGTGTTATTTATTAACATTGTAAAGGTATGTGCAAACCTAATCATCAGTAGCGAAGGAGAGCTACCCATTCTAAGCCAGTCAATACTACACAGTGGTCTAATTTTCATTTGTCCTTTCTTAGAATATACAGCAAAATGCAGCAAGACAAAAAACAAGGCCACAAGAATAACCACTGCTAAGGCCACACCTGGAGTACTATGCCCAGATCTGGGCTCCCCAGTACAAAAGCAGTATGAGGCTACTAGAGAGGGTCCAGCAAAGGGCCACTAGGATGATTAAGGGACTGGAGTATCTTGTATGAGGAAGAAATGAGACGATGACCAATGTGTATAAACACCTGGAGGGCGCAAAGAGGATGAAGCCAGGCTCTTCTCAGTGGTGCCCAGTGACAGGCTGAGAGGCAATGGGCACAAACTGAAACACAGGAGGTTCTATTGGGTCATCAGGAAAGACTTTTTCACTGTGAGGGTGACTGAGCACTGGCACAGGCTGCCCAGAGAGGTTGTGGAGTCTCCATCCTTGGAGATATTCAAAAGCCGCCTGGACACAGTCCTGGGCAACCTGCTCTAGGTGGCCCTGGCTTGAGCAGGGCAGGTGGACAAGATGACCTCCAGAGGTGCCTTCCAACTTTACATGCTCTGTGATTCTGTGAGGAGTAAAGTGCAATGAAGTTTCTAATACCAGTCTTCTACGTATAACCCCAAGGTGGATAACACATTGACTCAATGTACGCAGTTAATGCTTGTTGAAACATTCTTACAAGCATGCTCTGACAAAGAGTTTTCTGTCAAAAGATTTCAAGGAATTATTTTTTTACATCAAAGCGACACAGTCAGGTAAGTACAAAGTGGCAGTGGAGGGAGCACTGAGAAAAGCTTTATGCTGAAGTTCAAACTTGTTTCTCATCAGTTCTGCATCATGTCTATTTTGTCAGGGTACTGTTATGTCAATATGCAATAATTATTATTTACTATAAAAATAATAGCTGTGCTAATAGGTGTGGGGCAATTTTAACCACTTTCATACATACTTATGCTAAGTTTGTACTGGGTTGCATAGCTGGAAAGAGAAGCCCATAAAATATTCAACAAGAAAACCCAGGTCTCACATTACACTTCAAATATAATTCAGTCTTCTGGATTACTCCAGGCACTATCATAACATTAAATTCTTGCAGGTGATATGCTCTACTAACCAAATTTTTGCCCGCAGCTTCTGGTCTGCAGTGTAAAAAACACTAAAATAAGCTGGTACAGGTTACCAATTTACTAGGTTTACCCTTACTAGACCTGTAACTTATTCCATTCTGTCATTAGGACAGAAACCTTATCTTAATTAAGTTTAATTCCCTTCAGGCATTTAAGTTTACTTGACACTTTTGCTATTAAAAGAGATGTTAGTGTGTTGCAAATACTTTTGAGGTGTATTTTTTCTTAGGTATTGGTAGAAGTTAGCCTTGCTGCACCAGACTATCATCTCTGAAATACATCATCATTTAAAAGTATCCCTGTAAAAACAAGGAAAACAGCAATGAAGTGATATAACTAGATCACATTGTTCAACAATTTTGCTATTTCTTGTTTAGTATAAAAAAATATAATTTTTCACTTTATTTAATTAGATTTTTTCCCCTTACATTTTAAATATCAGACATTGTTTAGACAAACATTTTCCAATAATTCAAAAAGGAGCCACATAGAGAGAAGGAATGTAATTTCATAGTACTGAATTAATGCAAAAGTGCATTTAAAATCCAGTTACTAATAAATTATTAGCAAACCAACACTGTAAAATTGTTTACTAACAAATTGTAAAGAAATAACATGCAAGCCGCTTATGGATTTACAGTAAAATTTGAACAGAAATATCTTGTAATTGTTGTTCCCTTCAGCATGTCACAAAAATTACCAAAACAGCTAATGGCCAACCACAGAAACCCCATTTTTTTCCTCTTTAAGTTTCTAAGAATTTTTTTAAAAAGAAATATACCTTCTCTTTCCTTGCCCCACTTCCTTTTAGATACTTCTGTCTTCTGACTTTCATTATGTACAGCTCATTAAAAAATTCATCATGAAGTTGTACCTTTTCATGTTGGAATTCACAGACACACTGAGGTTTCTATCCTGTCTATCTTGTTATGTCTTCTAGAATAACTGGAATGGAAAAGTATTTCTTTTCTTGATTTAACAATATTTAGCCAAAGATTAATGAGTGAAGAAGCTGTCACATGTACCACAAATAGATTTTTGCTTCAGTAAAGTGGTCAACTGGAGAAGAGCTGGTAGTAGAAGGTATCACTGATTTTCTGCTCTGGAATTCTGTTGATAAATATGCCTTGAATGTTCTTTAATGCAATTTCTTCTTAATAGACAGTAGAAATCTAGCTTTTTAAAAGTAATTTCCAGGGACAAGGAAGGGATAAGGAACCCATCTCAGGTAAATAGTACCATTTTAACAGGGAGGACAGTCTTCTTCTGTCTAAAATAAAAGGACTTCTGTTATCAACATTCCTATTTTACAAGTTTATGGGCAGTCTCCATACTTTCCATTTCTGTGTCCTCCTCCAATCATGATTCTCATAGCACTTCCTGGAGCAATCTCTACTTTACCGACATTCTTATGAATTTGAACGCCATGACTGAACTCTATTCCAGCAGCACTGCCACAGAGGTAATTAATTTGCAGAGATGGTATAACTTCCCATTTCCTACCAAGTTTATTTCGATTATGCCTCTAAAGACTGCTAAATCCCTTGAGCACATCATCACTCAGGTAACCTAAAACTGTGTAACATCCACTATGACCTTCACATTCCTTTCAGGGGACAAGAAAGAATAGTTTCCCATTTTGTAAGCATATTTACATGCTCAGTTACCAGACTTTACACTGGCAGCACTGAAATATACCTCTACTTTCTAATAATATACAAGGCAGACTTCCTGTGTGTGACATGACTTGACCAAATGTTTTTATCATCTGAAAAAATTGCATATGTTATGTTAAATAATGTCTTAATTGATAAAAATACTCAACAGCACAGCAGTGAGTTCTCACAGAATCCTGCAGGATTTTATTAGAAACACATCTATTCAATAATTGTTTTTTAGTCCACCGGATGTGTGCCATTTTGGTTTTCTCTTTCTTATTTCACAAACAAAATTTTGTTCAAATGTAAACGAAAGTAAGCATCATCGCTAAGGGCTGTTGGTAAGTACTGTACTCTCTAGTCATCCAGATTAACCTTCTACAGTTCTTCTTTTTAAACAGATGTATTTACATGCCTCTTTCCAAAATTCTTCACTGTTGTCAGTTAAGACCAGCAGTTCAGAAAGTTCCTCGGTAAGCTCTTTTAAAGCAGTTACAGACAAATTTTCTGAACCTCTTAATTTTAAACAAAGTTCAGAAGCTTCTGTAGTATTAACTGCTACTGAGACACTTATGTAGATCTATGGCATTCTACAGTAATACAAACCATTCCTCCCTTTCTTATAAGAAGAGGAGCAACATGCTGTCTTAACAGATTGCGATGGTCATTGTCAGCAGTAGACCATATTGCAGTTGAGCCGTCCATCAATACAAAATTCCCAATCAGTGCTGAAGATTTTAAGACAGTAATTGAAAATACATATGTTAAAACTAATTGCTTTTACTCAAGCAACTGAAAAGATTATTGGTGATTTGTAAAGTACACCGGAGATCAGTTATCTGACTGAACTCTTGGAATGCAAAGAAATGCAAATTTATAAGTAGCATAATTTTTCATCTTAGAGATGAACAAGGACCTCTAATATTGCATAAATAAACACTATAGATGTAATATAGTCATAACACCTAGACTACAAATAGGACCACATGGCAACATTCCAAGAGAAAAGACCTCACTAAAATAAATCAGGAGAAAAAAATTATCAGGGAGAAGAGAAAAGAAATAAAGACATAAAACAAAGAAAAAGAAAATTATGCAGCGAGAACAAAGAAGAGAGCAAGAAGGTCTTCCTCCATTTGCCTCTATTCTTAATATTCTGCTCTAGTATGCATCTAAAGTTTCATCTCTTCTCCCCTTTCTCTTCTCAGGGTCCTCTTAATACACTTATTTTCTTTTATTTTTTCTTCAGAGCCCTCTAGCTTCATTTTTCCATTTGCCACTTGTCATCTTTAAAACTTTTCAATTACTTAATAATTCTGTTCTCTGTACTCTCAACTTTCTGATAAATCAACTTGGTTAGAAGCAACACAATGTCAGTAACTAACAGGTGACAACGCTTCTAAAATTATCAGTCCAGTATATCATGATATTTGAACTTACAGCAGCAATAGGAATAAGTTTTTTAGTGAGCTAAAATGTTAATGGAGATCTAATCTTGAAAATATGAACTATTTCAGTTACAGGAATTATTTTAGATATAAAGAATAGTGGCTTTTGACTGTTAACAGGTATGCCTCAAAGTACATTTAGCATCTAAGAAATCTTATGTTGCAGTCACAAAAAGAAAAGCATACAAAAGGGGCATCTCGCATCACATTAAAGAAACTGCAATTAAATGTATTCGTGGATAATAAGTAGCTTAACATTCACTGATCAGTTACACTAGTTGAGAGTATCAACTTCTTACTTTAGCTTCTGATGTTGGTTCCAAAAAGCACAGGCGATTCCCAAGTCCCTCAGCTGCCAAGCAAAACTTCCTTTGTTCTTTGTGAATACTGGCAACACACTGAAGTACTACTTCATCATCCTGTCACAAAACAAGGTATGAGAAAAAAAAGTAAATATTTGGAAGTTACATACACACTATAATGCTAAGAAATCCTGGAACTTGTTCAAAGCAAACACATTATGCTCCCATAACTGATACCATGTACATATGCAGAGATTCTTTTGATGCATATGTAAGCAGATGTTTATGAACAGATTTATATTCAAGACTATATCAAAGTGACAAAGAACACGTACTGTCTCCAGGGCTTTCACAAGTGTTGTGTCCTTCTGTTGCTTTAGCAGTGGCTTGCTATGGTGCCATAAAAAACTGTAAGCACACTCTTACTCGGTTTTACTCAGTAAAACATATTTAATTTTTACAGTAAAAACCTGTTACTGTGATTTTGCAAGCAACAGTAGCCTAAATATAAACAAATTTCTTTTGTTAGCACAGTAAGACCTCCACACAAGTCCTCTGAATGCATGATCTTAACTTTTAAGGTCTTGTTTAATTTAGAAACCTCTGAGTACAACCAAACATCCAAGAGGCATTTTCCAAGTGATGGTTCAAATACGTCATAAGAACTTGCTCCTTAAAAGATACATTCCAAAAATAAGAACGCTGCAAAAGTGACATGAAAGAGGCCTAGTATTTAGTTATCCTAACCATTCTAAAAGCCCTTTTACAAATTGTTACGTAATGCAATGCCAAAGACACACTTACTCATGAAAGTGTCAAACCCTTATTCACCTCTTAACATGCGATACTAAAGCTGATATAAGCGAGCCAAACCAGATTATTTTTAGTGTTCAACTGTGTCAAAGGTATATGTAGAACTGAAAATAAATTTATTTTCCAAAATTTGTCCACTAAACAAGAAAAAAACCACTTGCAGACTAGCACATAGAACTTATTTTTATACAAGCATGTTCACCAAAAGACACAGCCTTAGAAGTTTTTAAGGGGGCGGAAGCTGATAAAACAAGAGCGATATGATATGTCAGCCTCCCATCCCGCCATGAAGTTATCCTGGTGTCAATTATTATTGTCAAAGCAGATACACAACAGCCGCCTGTACTCAACTCGGAGATCACTTGAACAATTATGTTCTAAAAGCAGCTCTGCTTTTTCCAGTGCTCTTATGCAACTGCAATACTACGACAGTAGCACAGCTACTGACACTGGAAATAAAAGCTGGGAGCAATAAAGTGATTTTCACCAAAGGAATTAAGTGACAAGCCCTTTAAAATAGGAATTCAAAAGCAGGTTTTAATTTGTATGATTTTGCAAGTGTGTGCAAGTTACACAGCTTTCTTTTAGGCAATGCTTTACTGCCTACTTACTACTACTAAAATGGACAGCTATTATATTTCAGACTAATCAGCAGTTACTGACAGTGTTTCCTTATCTAGCTTTGCATAACAATCAATAGTGTTTTTAACAGGACAGGATGGGAATTCAAGATAATTTTATAAAGAATTTTGCAATGTATAGTCATGTAGGAGGTAAACAAAATTAGCTAATTAATGCTAAACAAATTCATTTTCTTTTTCCCCTGCTGTTCTGCTTCCATTTCTGCAAATGCTCTCTGAAAGTCTCAGCTTTCAAACTCAATAGTAAAAACATTTCTGCTTTTTAAACTTCAGGATAACAAATTGCAAAATATAAAGAATATAATTAAGCACTCAATACTACATTCCTCTGTTCATGAATTTTAAAAATTGGCATCAGAAGCATATCTGGGGGGGTGGGGGATCAGAACATGTATAAGACAAAAATAAACATGTCACCTGGTTCCTGTACAAATCTTTGAACATACATATTTCAGAGATTTAAAAAGAATAAAATACTTAAACATAAATTTCTAAATATCAATACTTTGAACAAAATTGAGATTTGACACTTAGCTTGCACTTATCAGTGGATTACATTACTTATATACAGCTGAAATGGTATTTATTCTCCCTACTACAATATTAATCATTCCACAGAGGCATATACATAGTTCTATTGTAATTCATATGTTTCTAAAAAATAAAACTGTGCCTTCAGACAACATATATAATAAAACCAGAGTTACTTACATAAATGAATGATTTTCTTTCTAAATCCATATGCATAAAAGGTCAAGAGTTTCTAGCATAATGAAATATATTTTAATCTTCTAGAATTCAAAAAATAAGCATTTCTTTTCAGAATTTCAACTGGCTTCATAAAGTCTGAATTAATCATTAAATGCCTTAACCCCAAAATACACACACGGATAATGTCTTAAGTAAGGACTGTATGCAGCATTCAACACCAAGGTTTTACATTATTCCCCTAAATTTCCAACGTCCCTTTCATTTGTGCTGCAACATTTAATAAACTATGTATTTGCTATACAGGATGAACAACTTTATTATAATAGAGTTTCTAAAAAGTGGCAATAATAGTGTATTTTAACACTAAAGAGTTTTAAAGAGTTCATCATTCAGGTACAAGTGGACTGAGCATGAGGAATTAGTGGACTCTATATAATGTTCATATAAGATAATAACTCACTGTTTAGATTGACTCAGTATTACAGTGCACTTACTGAAGTAAGATCATTCTCCCTGAGGTCTGAAATTGCTTTTCTGGCCTAAAGATTCTAATAGAAATGAGTGTTATGGAGTTATTATCCTATAATGGAATTGCAGACCATGCCTCAGCAGTATCTTGTTTTCTTGAGTCTTCTCTCACACAACTTCTGACATTGGAAAACTTTTTTCCTAGTAAACTTATTTTCTTCTTCCCTTAGTTTTTTAAATATACATGGCGCCAAGGCCATCTGACCTTGATCATCAATTCTCTGTATAGAGAATCTCATCCACTTACTTCAATATACCTTTTTTTGTATGACAAGGAGAAGCCTGCAAGCACAATGAAATGCAGACTCATGATGAGCGGTGACGAGCTGTTAGTTAAGTTGCATTCTCATTAAGCCAATTCTCAACGATAACCAAAAGCAAACCAAAAGAAAAAACAAAACCACACTCAATTTCCTTGATATCCAGTTGGCCAACCAGAAATTTAATAAATTTTAAATGTTTTAAATTTAGTAAGTGTTTTAAATGCAATCTTTCTCATCTAGCAGCTGTAATTTCTCCATGTTTAGAAATATATTTTTTTCTAATCCTTTTCATTTTGGGGGTTTTGCTTTGTTTTAAAATAAAACAGGTTTAGAGTGCATGGAATGACATGCTGGAAAGGCTCTCTGTAAGTAATGGTCCAACACCCCACCAGAGAAGGGCTCATTTATATCAAGTTTCTCAGATGATCTAATGTGCCTAATTTAAGTAAAAAGTCCACTTCAAAGTTCTGATCAGCATGAGGCATTGTTACAGATTCATACTTCTCTCCACCACACGTTAGACCTTTTCAGATCAAAATCATAATATGCAGTCATATCAATGTTCGCCAAATTTTACATTTTGCTTTAGTGAGCAAATGGGGTGAATATACTCAGGTTGATCAAAAAACTTCTATGATTTAGTAAGCACAAGAAAAAATAATAAATTTGCATACCAGTAGGCCTCACAAAAGAAACTGCCTTCACTATGGTTCCTCAAAAAGTATACACACTCTACGTGTCAATTACCAATAGCTGGTTTCCACCAATAGCATCATCAATAATTATGTAAAATTAATCATGAGATCCATCTTGTATTACTGTAATTAATATCTATTCACAAATACAGATGGATAGTAATTTTTAACTTTATTTTCCCCCAAAAGAAGAGGAAGTGAAAATTCTCCCTCTTTCTCCCATTCAGAAATCTCTTACCTGGTTAGGATTCATGAGTCAGTCCTTTAGCAAAGGACCAGGTAACTCCAACTGCAATTCTAATGATATTTATACACATAAACGTGTTGACACTATTAGATATATTTCAGGTGGTCTGAAATCCTGCAGAATATACCAAGTGTCATGTAGCTTATGTGTCATAAATCTGTCTAATATTATTCATGTATTCACACAAATCTATGACTTATGCAAAAATAAAAAGGACAGCTTTGGAGATTTGTTTTCATTTTTTGAAAGAAGATAAATGCATAACTGTGTGCTGAAAACATAAATTTCTATTTGTTTTGGTCAGAGCTGAAACAGCTATCTGACTTTGCACTATATAGTAATGTCTGCATAGGCTGAGAAACAAAGATGTTTCTACATGATAGTCAGTCACTCAGTATCTTCTGCTTTTAAGATGGAACAAGTTATGAAAATAGAACTTGTCTCTTTGCAAAAGTACATCTAATATGAAATAATTTCTTTAACTGAAAACTGTGATTCCCAGCCACCAGCAATATAGCATTAAGCAGCATGCTATCTAATTTTAAAAAAGAGTTTCCAATGAACCACAGTAGAGTGGTTCATTACCAGACAGTATTCAGCCTTGGTCTTCAGGCTGTCTTCCTCCTCAAGTTTCATAATAAAGTGATAGTGAACATAAATTGAGATTCCTGTGACGCAGTAATAGGCCAAAACATAAACAAAACCTGATTTCAATTAACCAATGACTTGCTGCAAAGTGAGTCAGTGATCAGGGTGAATGATTGTATTGTAGGCATGACCTTGCTTCTGCTCAGTTCACCAATTTTCCAACTCTGAATTTGAGAACAAAGAAACTCTAACAGCTAACAAAACTCCTCCTTCATTTATGTTGCATATATATCCCAGAATTAAGAATCATAGTCATTTATACAATAAAGTCTGTATAGAGCTTGTATTCAACAACAGATATACTTCTATATGTTTCATATTAAGAAGAACAAAACCATCAATACACTAACTACATCCATACACATTTACATACAAAATATGGACATGTTCCTGGAAAATGACACCCTAGATTTAGTTTGCTACGTACTGATTCAACATCTATCAAATCTCTATATTCTGTTACATTCAGTACTGAAAATGAAGCAATAAAATAAAACTGACATGACACTGTAAACTAATCAGCTTTAGAAAATTAATCAGCTTTGTTATTAAACCCATAGACTGTAATAAG